TGGGGGGAGATGGTAGAGTAACCCGTTCGTTGCGGTGGGGTGAGCTTTGAGAGAGAGGCCGAGCTGAAAATGTGGCTTTCCTGGTGTGTTTTCGCATGCAGCTGAGTTAATCCAGTGCACGGAGTGAACCGTAAGCAGCTGGTGCTCTGCAGTGCTTGGGGCTTCAGGGCTGAGGCTGTTCTGTAAAACAGAGCTTTGGCCACTGCTTTTAGATGATGAAGTTACCCTTGTTGAGTAGCAGAAGTAGCAACCCAGGGACTGCTCTTCTCTGCCTTCCCCTCCTTCCCTGCACCTCCATCCTCCATATTGACTCGTTGCTCTTCTTTAAGAACGTCATACTTGATCAGGTTTCCTTCTCAAGGTGTTTTTCTCATCTTCCTTTGATGGTCTGAAATTTTCCCAGGCTTGCAGCACGCGATTTTGTTAGCGTCAATGAACCTTTTCTCGATGGCTTGTCTACTACAAAAAGCAGTGCCAGAACTGAGCTCCTGTGCTAACATGCCCATCTGAAGCAAGAATGCAGTCCAGATGCCCAAAATATTAGGGTCAGCGCTGCATCTGGATTCCCCTAGAGCTAGAGGAGGCGACGCGGCGTATTTCTGAGCGCAGAGCTTTGTGAGGAATGTGGCGCTGGTATGTCACTCCAGCGTACCAAAGCCACCTGTGTTTGATTAAGGTGCAGTCTTACTTTCAGGGCTAACTGGGTATTCGTTCAAAATCATTTTCACAAGCCTTAAGTGCCTGTTTGGGAATATGAATCTCCTGGACCTATAGCCAGATAAAAACATGCTGCCGTGGTATGACCTGGTGCGTGTGCTTGCTGTGTCCAGGTAGGCAGTGCAGAAGATGTGTCCTGTGGTTCCTGTGTATGGATCTCTTGGATGTGGGGACTGCTACATCCCCAGGGTCATGCACAACCACCAGTGTTAGGAAATTCTCTGCTGTTTTAGTGTGCAGCCATATCAGTGATGCTGAATGCAGGATGTAATTGGGGTATTCCATAACTGTCCTTTTCAGCCTGTGCCTGGTTTGAGCCTGGTTCTGCGCTCTTGGAAGTCACCAAGAGCTTTGGCACTGATTCTGCTGAAAAAGGGCTGTTAATACCATAATGGTGCAGAGCAAAACCAGTGGTTTGTAATCTTGGAGTGTTTCTTTCCAGTGATGCTTGCTTTTTTTTTTTTTCTCGTTTCAGCCAAACAAACTTGTTCACCTTGGAGCTACAAATATTGGTGATTTGAGATTTGAGCTCATCGCTCACTGTTCCTGTGCAAGCAAGGACCAGAAAAATGAATATCCAGGGGAAAGGCTTCCCCTTGGACCTCGGAGGAAGCTTCACTGAAGATGCTCCAAGGCCACCAGTTCCTGGTGAGGAGGGGGAGCTTGTGTCCACAGATCCAAGGCCAGTTAGCCATGGTTTCTACTCCAGTAAAAGTGATGTGGTTAGAAATGAGACGTCCACGGCGACACCGCGGCGCTCCGATCTGGATTTGGGGTACGAGCCCGAGGGGAGCGCGTCACCCACGCCTCCCTACCTGAAGTGGGCCGAGTCGCTGCACTCCTTGCTGGACGATCAAGATGGCATCAACCTCTTCAGGACTTTCCTGAAACAGGAGGACTGTGCGGATCTGCTGGACTTCTGGTTTGCCTGCAGCGGCTTCAGGAAGCTGGAGCCATGTGTGTCTAACGAGGAAAAAAGACTCAAGCTGGCAAAAGCCATTTACAAAAAATACATCCTTGACAACAATGGCATCGTGTCCCGGCAGATCAAACCAGCCACAAAGAGCTTCATCAAAGACTGTGTCATGAAACTGCAGATTGACCCTGACATGTTTGACCAGGCCCAAACGGAGATTCAGTGCATGATAGAAGACAATACCTACCCTTTGTTCCTTAAGTCGGATATTTATTTGGAATACACGAGGACAGGTGGGGAAAGTCCAAAAATTTATAGTGATCCGAGCTCAGGGTCTGGGACAGGTAAAGGGCTACCTGGTTATCTGCCGACTCTGAACGAGGACGAGGAGTGGAAGTGTGACCAAGAGGCCGAGCCCGAGGCCAGCAGGGACTCGGCGCCTTCCAGCAGGCTCACGCAGAAGCTGCTCCTGGAGACAGCCACGCAGCGCGCCGCCTCGGCCCGGCGCTACAGCGAGGGCAGGGAGTTCAGGTGGGTGAGCCCCGAGCAGCTGTGCGGGCACGGGGTGATGGCATGGCCTGGAGGGCTGCAGGTCTTGGGGAGCATCCCGCGCTGGGTTGGGATGGAGTTGCCAGAGTGGTTTGATGGGATTTCAAAGCTTTGTTTGGAAGTAGTCACAGGTTGTTTTGAGGGTGTCTTCGGCCGGTCTGATTGTACCAGATCATTCCTGCAGCGCGTTCCTGGAGAAACTGCTGCTGGATGTGGTCTGGAGGCAGGTAGTGGTTGGTGGGGAGTGCAGAGCTGTGGGCAGCCCTCATGCACATGCAGGCAGCTGAGCAAGCCGCTGTGCCAGGTTGGCCCTCGCCTGCACCAGGAGAAGCTTTGTGTTCAGGCACTGCAACACGGGCAGGTACAGCTGCTGGTGACACTTTGCTGCATAAATGCACCAGGAAATTGTCGTGAGCTGCAGGTAGGAGCTTGCAGGAGTTAACCTCACCTTGGCCACATTGATAGGAGTGCAGCAAGGTTCACAGTGCTCCCTGATAATGGCACTGCTTTGCATACAAGATTCCCAGCCCTGAATTCTAGCGGTGTCAAAGTCAGAATCCCCAAATCCAGTTAAAACCATTCCCTGCTGCAGCTTTTCCCTTCAGGAAAGTAATTGCTGGTTTTGTTGGTTTTTTTTAACTGGAGGGCTTGCACAGTTTTGCAGCCTGGTTTTTTTCTGGGTCCCCCACCCACTTCCAGCCAACATGGATTTTGAAACTTGCTGAGAGCTCAGTTAAAATTCCAGACAATTAACTTAGCAGGGAGCTCTCTGGGATCAATAAGCGTGTGTGTGTCTAACCCTTGCTGAATCAACAGAACCCGGCCAGAACACATTCCTACTTTCCCCCCCCCCCCCCCCTTTTTTAAATAAAATCTCCTTGTTTTAAGACCTGCTTAGGCTAAAATCTGACGCTTTGTGAAGATTGCGAAATAAAGTAGCTGAACTGTCCTCTTCAAAGCCTCTGCCTTATGAAAAGCATTTCTGTGTTTAATCTCCTTGGCCGTCCCTTTAGGCTGGCAGCTGGAAGTGCATCCCGCCCCACACAAGTTCTCGGTGCCTTTCAGCTAGAGAAGTGTTCTCGGTTTGAGTCTTGTTTTCTTACAGATTTTGAGGAGGGGATGTTGCATGTGAAACTGTGGCAGAGAGGAGAGGGGAAAAAAAGGGAATTCGTGCTGACTCCTGCTGTTTTAATCAGGAGTTGGAAAAAAAGTATCTCGGTGTCTTGGGACTTGCCTGTGGAGCTAATAAAAACCTCGAATGTGTGGTGGAGTGCGTTTCACTGAGCAGTTGGGTGCTCACCATAAATGAAGGATTAGATGAGCTGCCATTTAACTATCTTTTTGTTTAAGCAATGATGGCATTAGGATTGAAAATAACTGACTGGAGGGTCAGCTGTGTTTACTTTCCTTACTAGACCAGGTAGCAAATCCTGCATGTGACACTGCTGAAGCTCTAGCTGCAGGAAAGAAGTGTACTTTGCCCATTACCTGAACATATCTGTGCCAGATTGTAAAGCGGTTTAAGAAATGTGCTGTGAAGTTGCAGCGTTTTGGAGTGGAGTTCACTGGTCCTGGACATTTTCGTACCAGGTTGGAACAGCACAAAATAAATCTTTACCTGGGGGATGGAGGTCAGAGGAAATGTGTGGCTGTTAATTTGTCGTGTCCGACAGCCTGTCATTGTGGCTACTGACACTGTGCTGACCTGTAGGGTAGGGAGGCAAGGAAGTGTTTACCATTCTCACCAGAGCAGGAGTCACTTCTCAGCCTGGAGTAGCTGAAGATAAGGAATATATTTTGTTTTTAAAATGTGGGTATGTCAGCTCTGGTAGTGTCCAGAACGTTGCCATGGAAGATGCTGCCCAACTGCACAATCTCTGCATTTTTTTGTTCTTAAATATTAATTTATGAGGTGATTGTGCCTCTTTGTGCAAGACCTTATGGTTGAATTAACTTTCGTCCCGGATGTTGTACAGCAATACCTGTCTTGAATAAGCTGTTTTTGCGACTGTAGCATCTTTATCCTGCAGACAACTTCTTCATTTGCTTCCTCACCTGAGGACCTGTGCTGGAAGCCAGTGGAGCTGCTTGCAGCAGGAAGCACTGGCTGTGTGCAGAATTTGAAAAGCTAGAGCCCAATTTATTTTGAAAATTTCCACAAAAGTCCTTTTTTTCTGGCATACGTGTGGAAGAATTTCTCATTTCTGTGCTTTGGGGAATGTTGAAATAAGCTGTTTTGCATTATATCTCAAGGCCTGTTTAATCTTCCCAAGACTGAACTTCTATTCCTTGGCTTCCATGGAAACCCTAAATAAAGAGGAATCTAAGCAAATGCAATAGAAGTATTGCTCTGTTAGCAAATGAGCATCTTGAATTGGCTCCAAATTTTTTTTGCAGCAGCAGAAAGTTCATAAATCCTGATGCAGTAGCTCTGCTCTCAGGAGAACAAATGGAAGAAATTCCTCAAAGGGCAGAAGACAACCCGTCATTAGCGTTGGGTATTTTGGAGGTGTGCAAATGTGCAGGCATGTTTGAGAATGTCCCGAAGCCAAAAGCTTCGCCGTTACCCACTGTGTTTTTGTATGCGTCGGAAAAGGCCAATAGTCATTATAGTTAGGCTCCTGCAAATTAATTGGACATTGGTTATGGATCAGTGAACTTCAAAGAGGGTAACCCCCGAAGATCTCGGGCATTAACTCGCAGCTTCCGAAAGTGACACTAACGTGGTTGTGAGGGCGGCTAAATCGTTCATTAACCTTCTTCTGACACGCCGGGACAGCGTTCCTGGGATCTGGAGAGCAGAAATTAAACCTGTGCCTCAGAACTGCCCTGCAGACTGGTTTTCCAGCGCTCCAGGAAAACACGCGCGGCTTAGAAAGTTGGAAGTTTGGTGGCTTGGTTGTGTCTGTTGCTGGGGTGGGTTTCTTCTGCTGTCTCCTCAGCTCTGCGTCGGAAGGGACTCCACTCCGAGTCCCAAAGCGTCGGAGAGCAGCTCTCACAGCTGATGCCTTTGCTTTCTTCCCATGGTGGGAATTGAGAAGAGCATAGGGTGTTACCCGCCAGCAGCTCTGCGTTTGTCTCTCCTGAAAACCAGGCAGACTGGGAGATTTGGGTTAGTTCTACCTGGTGTTCTGGGGTTTGACCCGTTCCGTGAAGTGTCTAACATTGAAAAGGAAACCTGGACGGTGGTGATGAGAGGATACGTGGTGGTAGGTGA